AAACCCTATATATATATATATATACTTAGCAAGCTCGGATATGGAGCTTCTAAAGGGTCTTGCAAGGTCTAGGGGTTTAGGGTACCGGTCTCTGAGCTTTTGGAGAAGTTAGGGTTTAGAGTTTAGGGTTTCAGGATTTAGGGATGAGCCCCGACTCATATATGGCCTTCTTTGAGCTTCGATTGAAGTAAAGCCCAACCCTGAACCCTACATCGCGAAACTCCCCAAACTAGAGGCCTTATAGTGACCCTTATTATGTCAGCCTTTAAACCCTAAGTCCTACACCCTACCTAAACCCTAAACCCTAAAACCCGAAACTTTATAATAACTCTAAATGGAACCCTGAAAGCTAAGACTGTGTGGTCCTCTGCAGTGGCCTTGGGATACCTGGCTTCGGCGGGGAAAGCGAGGGGAGAAACAGCATGGGTTTGTAAGGCTCAGGAACTCAGTTTGTTGGATTTAGGGCTGAATGTAGAGGCCTTAATAATTAGAATAGGGTTTTGGGCTCCTTGATATTTGTAGGATTACTGTAAAAAGGAACTGTAATTATTCAGGCTTCTACATTAGAATCTTATTCTTAAACTCAAAAAAACCCAGACCCCACATCCAAAGGCCCTCAGCCCCACAACCCAACCCCAAAGCCATAAAACCTGAAATCCCCAACAAAGCCCGCAACACCCTAACAGACCCTTCATTCCCGCAACAGAAAATGCCGCAAAATCCTTAGAAGCTTTGCTAAAACCCGAAGCAACAAAACGATTACCAAAAGGGAGCCCAGCGACAAGGAAAAGGCCTTGGAGATCACGACCATCCTGGGATAGGGTTTAGGGTTTAGGGTTTAGGGTTTAGGGTTTAGGGTTTAGGGGTTTAGGGTTTAGGGTTTAGGGTTTAGGGATGACTGAGTTTAGAGTTTACGCAATCCTGGGATACTTCTAGGCCCTAAACCCCAAATCGTGGCTCCGCTACTGCGAGTACTTGAACCAGAAAAAGCTTACCTTTCCAGTGCTCCCACTTTCGATTTCTTCAGAAAGGTGGGATATGTGGGGGATTCAAGTGGTATTCGGATCGTCATTGTTATTACGACTCTATACTCTATACTATCCTTACGTGGCGGTCGGTCGTAAGCACTACGAACTGTCTTCGACTACGACTGCCACTACCGCCACGGTTATTGTCGTTCTCGCCCACACAGAGGCCCCAAGTCAACGAGCACATAAACACAAGGGTCTGACAGTACAGGTTTTCCGGGCTCCACCTTCAGCAAAGGTCCTCTTTACTTGATCTGGGAGCCCTATATTATCCTTATTAAGGGAGAGGGGCTATACCCGATATCCTTTTAGAACCCTAGAAGCCTCAACCCTAAAGCCTATCTTCGATTTCGGAAGATGGGATCGTCGTCATCGCGTTTAGAGGTCCCCTCAGAAACAAACCAAAAATCAACAGGTCGGGTAAGATCCTGCTTAAACAGAGTCCTAGTAGGGTTTAGCCCTAAATCCACTCAGCCGCACCAAGCACAACAAGCACATAAACTGCACCGAAGCCCCAAAGCCCGTGACCTTTTTTTCACCAAAGAGCCCCAACAAGCTTGCAGAGGAGCACGAATAAGATCACAAAGCTGTCAAGGCCCCGTATCGGAGCGCCACTGCACTTTACATGCAGGTACCAAAGCCACATTAAAGATACGCAGCATATACTGGGCCTTGGGACTAACCAGGGAGAAAAAAGTAGAAACTTTTGTTTCACAATGGCTCCTTTAAGGAACAGGTCCCACAGAAAGTACTAAAGTATGGTACTTCAAAGCCCAGTATATGAATGTCGGAATAATCAACAGCTACACCTCTCAGGGTTCATTCATGTACTTGTAAGTTGGCATACCCCAAAATAACCTATGCTGACTCCTGAGGCCCCTATATTAAGACCCCTCAAGCACAAGTCAACAAAGATCCCTCACAAAACAACTCGAGCTCCCTGAAGCAAGCCCTAAACCAACTACCATCTAGGGCTCCGTATTTGGATGTGCGTATAGTCCTGAATAAGCTGGCTTGTTTGGGGTTAAAGTAAATAACGTAGCAGCCTCCCTAAACCCTAAACCCTAAATCCAAAATACTATTCAACTATTCTTTCGGGTCCCATCATATATCAAAACCAAGTTCTAATCATAAAGGCCATGACATTAAACGAGAGTTCGAGGCCAAGGGCTTATGACAAAACATAATACCCAAACCCTAAGCCCCGAACCCTAAACCCCAAACCCCAAAACCTAAACCCCAAAGCCTAAAGCCTAAACCCTAAACCCCAAACCCCAAACCCCAAACCCTTAACCCCAAACCCTAAAACCTTAAACCCCGAACCCCCAAACCCTAAACCCTAAACCCTAACCCCAAGGGCACCAGAACAGGAACCCTCTAAGCAAAGCCTCCTTGAGGAGACCTTATAGGGTTTAGGGTTTAGGGTTTAGGGTTTAGGGTTTAGGGGTTTAGGGTTTAGGGTTTAGGGTTTAGGGGTTTAGGCTTTAGGGTTTAGGGGAACCGTACTTGGAGGATCATGGGACTTAGTAAGTAAGGTTATTTATAACCGTAGTTACTAAGTCTCGGTTTAGGGTTTAGGGTTTAGGGTTTAGGGTTTAGGGTTTAGGGCTTAGGGAGGTTATTTATAACCGTAGTTACTAAGTCCCATGATCCTACAAGTAAAGGAACCCCTACGCAAACCGCATAAAACCCTTTGTGAAAGCCTTTGAAGCGGTTCCTCCCTTTTAAGGATCTATAAAGGTTTAGGGTTTAGGGTTTGGGGTTTAGGGTTTAGGGTTTAGGACTTAGGGTTTAGGGTTTTAGGGGTTAGTAAACCCAAGGGTCCAAAGGACCCGATAATCAGGTAGTTAGGTTTCGGATAGTGGTTATGTAGGTTGCTATTTGAGGGAGTATATATGATTATTAGGTACTTGGACCCTGAGGGTTCTATATAGGACCATCCCCAACGACCCTCCAAAAAGCCTCAACGCTAAACCCTTCGAGGCACACAAACCCCCGAAAAAACCGTGAGTCAGCTCGTCCCCGTGCAGTGGGAGCTCTGGATAGACATAGAATAAGGCTTGGGGTTTAGGGTTTAGAGCTCAGGCTTTTTTGAGCGCCACTTTTTCCGTCCGTGTTTGGGGTTTGGGGCTTAAGGTTTAGGGCTTTCGGGGAACATGAAGGGAGCTATAACATGCTATGACTAATCATTCGGACCCTGACAACACGCTTACAAATCATTCAGACCCAACAACAAAGTTAAAGGAACCGCTAGTGAAGGATAAGAGTCAGATCGTCCCCCGAATCCCTAAACCCTAAACCCTGAACCCCAAACCCTAGACCCTAACCCTAGACCCTTACAGATACCTTTTAAAGGAACACTTATAGATCCCTTTAAAGGAACCCTGATAGACCCCTTCAGAGGCCCTAAGGCCTAAACCCTAAACCCTAAACCCTAAACCCTAAACCCGAAACCCTGATCAAGGATGAGCGTCAGATCGTCCAAGAGCCCATCCAAAGCCGGGCCCAGGGATTCCCGGGACTTTCCCGACTGAGTGGCTAGGAACCTCAAGACAGATCCAGGGTTTAGGGTTTGAGGATTTTAGGGTTTTAGGGTTTAGGGTTTAGGGTTTGAGGATTTTAGGGTTTTAGGGTTTAGGGTTTAGGGTTTAGGGCTTTAGGGTTTAGAGGTAGGTGTTAGGGTTTAGGGAGTTTAGGGTGTAGGGCGAGGGTTTGGGGTTTAGCGCTTCGGGTTTAGGATTTAGAAGGGTTTGGGGCTAGGATTTAGTAGAGTTTAGGGTGAGGAGGGTTTAAGCAGGGTTTCGGGCTTAGTAGGGTTGCGAGTCTCGTCTTTAGCAAGGGCTCCCTTTTCGGTAATTGTGTGGTATCTTTCATAAGAAGCCGAAGGCTACAACAAGGAAAGAAGGGCCCCTTTAAGGCCTCGTCTTGCAGAGCATTTATAGGTCTTGTAGGCTTATTGCTAATATCATCATTCTTCTTCATATAACTACTAGTCTTAATTTCTTATGCATATCATTGTTGTTACTTACTACAGTAGCATTATTGTTCTCTAATGATTGTTATGATCATTTGGTACCAGTACTGTTATTGTTATTGTTAGAGTGGTGTTACTGCTATTGTTTATGATTGTTGATGTTCCATGATTGTTGTAGTGCTATAAGCCCTTTCGGTGGGTTAAGCTTTTCGGAAACTGGAAGGCTCTTAGAGCAAGCTTGGAATCTTAGGGTTTGGAGTTTCGGGTTAAGTTGCATCAGAGCTTTCTACTTTTCTCTTTAAACCCTAAACCCTAAACCCTAAAAGGTCCTATCAAGGCTCGAGGAGGTATTCTCAAAAGGCACTTAATCAAAACAAACTACAGGTGGGAAGTTTAGGGTATATAGGGCTTCTATAAAGCTTCCATAAGGTATATAGACCTTCTATCAGGCTCCTATAACGGTAACTACCCACCTGAAAATGTCCTAGACTTTAGGGATCTTCGGGCTCTTCCTTTCTGTGGGAACTGGGGGTCTGCGGGTAGGTTTCCTTCGTTTCGGAGGGCTTCTTGTAGGGGTTTGGGGTTTAGGGTTT